CGCAGTCACTCGATCAAATCTAGGCCCTCAGTTAGGCATGACAATGTAAGCTAACTAGAGATGGGTTTGAATCCAATCAGATTGATGGGTCGGTGTGGAGTAGAAACACTCTTAGATCTCAAGGGAACTTTGAGTAACTCTACTGATGAACCGAGCTCTTTGAAGAAGGGCCGAGCAAGGGCCATAACTTCAAGAGACTTGAAATTTTTTCGAGTATAAAAAGGTTCCTGTTGAGGAACCGAGCTCTTTGAAAAAGGGTCGAGAAAGGACCATAACTTCAAGAGACTTGAAATTTTTTCTAAGTACAAAAAAGTTCCTGTTGAGGAATCAAGTTCTTTGAAGGGCCGAGTAAGGACCATAACTTCAAGAGACTTGAAATTTTTTTTAAGTACAAAAAGGTTTCTGTTGAGGAACCGAGCTCTTTGAAGAAGGGTTGAACAAGGGCCATAACTTCAAGTGACTTGAAATTTTTCCTAAATATAAAAAGGTTCCTGTTGAGGAACTGAGCTCCTTGAAGAAGGGCCGAGTAGGGCTATTACTTCAAGTATTATTAAAAAAAATTTCAAGTATAAAAGGTCTTTGTAAATGGGCCGAGTTCTTTGAGGAAGGCCGAGCATGGCCATAACTTCAAGAGTCGCACCTTGAAGCAGGCCGTGTAGGGCCATAACTTCGGGTATTACTAAAATTTTTCTAGATAATCAAGGTCCATATTGAGGGACCTAGCTCTTTGAAGAAGGGCCGAGTAGGGCCATAACTTCAAGAGTTACTATAATTTTTCTTGGAATTAAAAATTCTTTTCGAAGGACCGAGCACATTAAAGAAGGGCCGACTAGGGCCATAACTTAAAGTGTGACTAAAATTCTAAAAATCAATTTTTTCTCAAACGTTCTAAGAAATGAAAAAGAGAGATGATAAAAGTTGATTCTCATTCTCATTTAAATTTCAAAAAGTACAAGATCTTATAGCAGGTACATCAGAAATTGCAGGTACATCAGAAATTTTAAAAAGTCTTCTACGTGTCTAAAGGGGCAGGAGGATGAGAGGAGCTCAGAGCTGAATATCTTGAAAAAAGTTCGGAAATAGAAGGGACCCCTGTAACAACTAGCGCAGCACGCCATCCCTTGCTAAAGAAAACATCTTAAAGTTGAGGGATTTGCGAAACAAGGTCATTTTCCGCTTTCTCAATTCCTTCATCGTAAGCTACATCTTCTTTCTCTTTTGCCTCAGCCTTGTACTGATCAAATTTTTCAAAGAGGGTGGAATAGTCAAGTTGGGATTAAGAAAGTTCTACACTGACTTCGTGCTTGGACTCCTTTAGGTTCTTAACCTCTGAATAAAGCTTCTAGTTCTCCTCGATTAGGCTTTGATTTTGAGCCTGCAGAACCTTCACTTCTTCGCAGAGTTTTGCATACTCCTCATCCACACTCTCCTTTGCCAGAGCCGAAGCTCGGGCATGGATGACGTCTTTCATTGCCTTATCTTTACGAGCTATCCAAGCTCCAACCTAATGGACTTTTTGCAGACCCTTAAAGTTATGAAGAAAGAAAAGACATAGAAAAATTTAAGAAAGAGTAAAAAGCTTAAAGGAAGTCAGAATCAAGACTTACTAGGACCATATGTTGAATAGCCTGACGAGACACCTCATCATCAGTCAGTTCCTCGTTCATTGCTAGGTCACGAGGTAGGATCACCCCCTAGCAATCCCCACTGCCACATTGAAATCTTCGATGACAAAGTCCTTTGAAGTGATATCTTTCCTTTTTGCCCTTAGGACAGGTCAAAAAGAAGGAATTGTTGACTTGGGAGAGAGACTCACCTCAGCCTCGACAATCCTCTGCCTCTACGGGGCTAGGTCATCGGTAAACTCAAAAATGGAGTCTTCTTCAGGAGAAGATTGAACAAAAACAAGGGGATCTAATTCGACTGGGATTGAAGTTTCACAGGTCTGAGCCGCATCTGCTTGATCACTGCTTGGAATATCAGCATTACTTGGAGGAACAGTCTCGGCAGCTACCTCGATGGCGGGCTCTTCTTAAATGACGATTGGGGGCACAGAAGTTGTTACCATTTGTTCGGTAGGAGGGGTCGGCTCAACTGTTGACAAAAAGTCTAAGAAATTCCTCACAGTTTTGCGTCCAGAGGCTGCTATGGAAGGTCTCTTTTTTGCTCGGGGAGTCTTTTCCCGAGCGGCTTGGATGGCCTCCCGATCTGCTGCAAGCGTTGCATTGGGTCGGTTCGGCACGACAATAAAAGATGTGTAGTTGGGCATGTATCTAAGCAGTGTATGGGCAGCTCGGTAGAACAAAGATTCGTTGAAATCACAAACCTTCTGAAGTTGGTCCAACTTAACAAAAGACTTAGGGATCTTGCCCTCCACAGTTTCTCCTACACGAATTATATCAGATTCAGTAAAAAGAGAAAAAATAGCAAATCTTTGGAGGAGAAGAAGATTCGAGTACCTAGTGCGCCTTCTTCATAAGGGCAACGATAGGAAGGAGAGGCTTCAGCGGGGTATTCCCAATTCCCAGAAACGAACACAATGTCATTTTCATAACCTTTGTTCAAGTTGGGAAAGTGGGTGACTAGATAGCGATCTTTCTTCCTCTCTGATAGATAGTAGCTATCTCTAGCAGCTTTGATGATATAGTAGTATAGGATGTCCCACAAACCGAGACTCAAACCCAAAATTTTGTTCAACGCAGAAACCCCCATGAATATCCTAAAGAAATTGAGCCAGCATTGGAGGAGGCAGAGTTTCACGGCAGAAAGAGTCCACAAAAGGAGAGGGTCGAGGGGAAATCGGATTCCTTCCTCGATGATAGCACGAGTAGGGATGATGATCAACTCCTTTGTACCAATCAATGGTTCGTCCTTCCCTGCAACTCTTATTTCAACATCGTCAGGAATGTTGTATTTTACTCTGAAGGTTGGAATTTCATAAGGCATAAGGGGAGCCATTGAAGAAAATAGAATTCAGAGAGAGAACACATAAAGAAAAGGGCAAAAGTCTGAGAGTCTGGAAGTAGAAAAACGAAGTGAGTAAAATACGAAGAAAGAAGGTTTATAAGGGGAGAGGAATTTTGAAGGGTAACATTTAAATGCCCTGAATGTGCCGCCAAAATGAAAGGGCATGTTACAAAGTACAAGTAATGATGATAAAAAGATAAGAAAACGGCTGACAGACAAAAAGCGTCTATCAGACATTTTCTGGGAGCAAATAAAGGGGTTAGCCCTCATCATTACACATGTAATGACATTAAATGAAACCCACGTGAGGTTGACAAGACAGATCACGTGACGGAGAAATCATTCACATAGCCTTATAAATCGAGACGTGCTGATCGATAAGTTCGACAAAGAAAGAAAGAGTTTGATTCTCTTTATAATCGATCTCGTCAATCTGGTTCAGCTAAACAAGGAAAGAGCTCAGCTTGTACCATGTCGAGCCCGTTAAAGTGTTTGGCAAGTCAATTGAAGAGGTCGGTTTGTGCCAAACCAAGTCCTTTAATTTGTTCGGCAAACATCGAGTGTACTCGGCATCCGATATATCCGAACTATTTCAAATGATAGATAGAAAGATAAAGATTTGCCTATAACTTAGGCAATCAGATAAAGGAATTAGAGAAATTGAAGATATCGGGAGAAAATACTGGAGAAATATCAATAATTCCCAAACCGAATCACTGAATTAAAGGAAGGTGTGCCACCTTGAATCAAAAATCACGGAAACCCTAAGGGGAAGACCATCTATAAAAAACAGACGAATTCAAGGTGAAAGGTACACGGAATTCTCTTGGTCTTCTTCCATTCTTTCTAATATCTTTACTGACTTAAACATCGGAGTGCCTTCGATCGAAGCACTTCGATGTTGGACAGTTTGTTCGTTTTGTAGGCAAGAGAAGACTGGGAGATTGAGTTCATAAACACATCAACTTTTCAATTCCTGTGAGAGGTATTCTCAATTTTTTGCCTCTTACAATATATTTAATGCAATAAAATAGACACCTTGTTTGCATGAAGAACACCAATAATTCTAGATCTGACGTCTTATATTATAACTAGAGGCACGGGTTAATTAAAAAAAAAGTCCATAATAAGCATATTTATATTTATACTCAAAATCAAATTACAAAAATAGAGGAGAGAGAAAGGAATTTAATTACCGATTGTAGTGGGGGTGAGTGGTGGTGGACAGCAGTGATGGTGGGAGATGACAACCGATTGTGATGGTGGCAGTCGTGAGTGGCAATGCTAATGGTGGTGGTGGTAGGGGTGATGGTGAGACAGTGGCGGTAAGGTGGTGACAACAGTGGTTATAGTGGGGGTGGTGATAGTGGGGATGGTGGTGGTTGGGTGGCAACAGTGGTGTTGGCTGCAGCAGTGGTGGTGGTGGGGCGATGGTTATTGGGATGTGGTGGTAGTGGGATGGCAACGGTAGTGGTGGTGGTGGTGGCTGTGGCGGTGGAGGGTGGCGATGGTGGTGGTGCGATTGGGGTGGTTGTGGGGCGATGGGTGTAGTGGTGGTGGTGGTTGTTGTGGTAAAGATGGTGGTGTGGTGGCGGCGGAGGTGGTGGTGATGGGAGGGTAGTTATAGTGGTGAAGTAACGGTGGTGGTGGTGGTAGTGCTAATGGTGGTGGGGCGGTGGGGTTGGTGGTAATGGTGGTGGTGTAACGTATTTATAAGAAGTTGTAAGTCCTAAAAATATTTTAAAAAATTATCTCAAACACACCCTTAAGAGCCCATTTTTTCTATTAAATTTAGGGTGTTAATATTAACCGTTAGATTAACTTTAAAATAAAATTTAAAGCGATCTCAACCGCGAATAGTAAAAGTCATTTTGTTTATCTTTTTAGATTTGAATTGTATTGTACTTTGTTATGTAGATTTTTAGTTTAACTTGACCTTTTAATATTTTAACTACAGGGAAAAAAATGCCTGTTTTGCCCGAGATATCATACTATATTAATATGAGTTTGTCCAAATCGAATTTTGAGCTGATCTATGCCTTGTATAGATGATAAGAATCAACAGCCACGTTCCCGTTACCACCATCCTTCACCTTACCTGCAGCTATTTAAAATAAACTTGTCACAATATAGATTTTTATGGCGAGCTAGCAGTTTTATACATTTCCTTCTTTGTTCTGAAAAATGATCAATCCAAATGCCATTAGTTTTATTTGGTTCTAAGAGAGAAACACTACAATTTGATTGAAATTCATTTGGTTCATATTATAATGATGCTTAATTTGAGAGTTTTATTATGAAATGAGTTTTAATTTTAGAGAGAGACCAGGATATCTCTGTGTGAAAGTATCCCATATGCTTGGCCCTCGGCCTCCTTCATGTGCTGCACCTTCAAACTAAAAGAGCAGAAAAAAAGTAGTCCAAAACAAGAAACAGAAGCAAATTTGCATTAGCTCAATGGTCTTAATTCTATTGATATGTGAATAACTCGACACTATTAATCCACCATGCATTTACCTGATAAGCAGACGATGCAGTGCCAAAGAGAAAATCATTCGAGAAAAATCGACGATGCAACCTTGCCTTGGGTAGAATAGTAAACTGATCGTCGTCCTTCTTCACTGTAACCGACTGAGTCGAGTTATTAGTTGCAATGAGATTGCCTTGGGTCTCCATAACTTATAAGCTCTATATGTATCTTGGCTTACTGTTATGGTTATGTTCTAAGCTTGAAGATAACATGGCTTTATATAGGCCACGCAAGGCTTTTAGTTTGTATTGTTTTCATGGAGACCCCAGTGGTTCTAGTAATATCATTTCGAGAAAATTACACTTACACTCCTCCTTTCATCCTGTCCTCTTACAATGTCCACATGGCACATTAAAACTTGTGGTTGGAGTTTCAGAATGCCTCAATCATAAAATTTTCGTCCAAACTTTCATGGAAAATTAAAGCAAAAATCAAAATTTTTCTAAGCTGAGGAGAAAATACCACATCTTCTAACATTCTGGGACCTCATTTTTTGTCCAGATTTACATTGAAAAAAATTGGACAAAGATCAATTATTGAAAAATTATAAATTTCGATACCGAAATCGTTACCAAATATTTAACTCACAATAACCACAAAAATTCAATATACAGAAATTAAAATCTAATCCCATTATAGCACAACCTCCATTGAGAACTTTGTTTCTTCTCCATCAACTCGATCGTCTTATCTGAAGGAAAAAAAAAAGAGTGTGAATCCAATTTTGCGATATGGGTTTTGTTGAAATCCTTAGATATTAATAGTTTGCGAGTTATTATTTGTATTTGACGAGCTCAGATTTAATTGCGTCAGACCCGATTAATGAGCTAGATTCAAATCAGCTACAAAGCGGGTTAAGTCTAATTCATGGATTTGGCTCAGTCTAGAGTTCAAGGAGTCCAAAAAGATTAGAGCACGTGGGGGATAATTATCGAGATACTCACTCTTGAAGATCAAGACAACTTTTAATTGTACTTACCTTTTATAGCTTCTCAAATATCTAATACATTTACACTTACGTCACCGCCTTAACCAAGCCTATGTGCCTAATTATAAACTCTCTCTGCATGAGAGGACACCTCTTGAACTCTCTACACACCCCATACATAGTTTTCTTTCTCCCAACTATTGTATCCCTCCCGGGGCTAACCATACTTAATCAATAAAAGGTCTCTCGACCACCGTTGTCGTTTTTCGAAGTGGAGTAGGTCACCCAGACCGAATCACTATATATCTACGTGTTGACCCGATATTTACATTATTGTCGTTGATTGTTCTATTAATTCTCCATTAATTACATTTTATTACACACTCGACTGTTGATCTTGCATAAGACCGTTTTGTGCATTATCAATATTTATAATTCACATTGTAATTGTGAGTCTGCGAGATTTTTTGATAATTTTCAGTTACAAGAACATAAAAAAATATCTGCCAACTTCTTTGAGAGTGCGAATGAATTTTACAATCTTGGCCTATCCTATCTGTCAATAACCTCCTTGCCTGCTTGGAAACTACTCGTTGTGCGCGAAACATGAATGCTTATTTATTGTCTTTGACATGTTAGTTGTGAGAGTTGTTTTTGGTTAGCGGAGCAATTAATATGTGCAAGAACATCAAACCTTTTGCAGGACCAAGTTCACCTATGTCGTCCGGCAAGTTTTTTTTTTTGCGGGCACTATTTCTGGGAGAGGAGGACGAGATTCAAACACGCAACCTTAAAGTCTAACGGTAGAGGGTGGGGATCATTAGGCCAATCGGCAAGAGTTTAAATTAGGGTAAGCTTGGGTTTAAATTTTTATAACTTAGATTGAGATTGAATTGACCCCTACTCTCCTGAATTGCACCCTAATTTTGGATCCATTTATCCATAAGGCCAGGATTTTGGTACCACCTAAATTTGTAGGTGGTTTAATATGTAGTAAATTATAGCTTTTGCCTAGGAAATATTTCCCAGGTAAAAAATTGAGTTATTGAATATTTGCAACTTTCGTAGGTAAGGTACATTTTTTGCCCTTGAAAACAAGATATTTGAAATAATAAATATTGGGATTTGATATTTAGGGGTAGGCTCTTATGGTCTTTGTTTTGATGGAAAATGGGGTGGATGGAAAAACTTTCCATTGTTTGGTATGGAAATGAAGAGTGATGGAAAAGAAAAGTGTAGGGAATATTTTTCCTTCTAGCCCACAATTTATTTTCCCCCAAAAATGGGCGGAAAATGGGAAGAAGCCAACAAAATTTGACCTTTGACTGATAAATTTGTTTTTTTGCCCTTTGTTACCTTCTAATAAAACTCACTTCTCAATACATATATTTAAAGGGTAGAATTATAAAATTGGGTATGTATGATTTTTCTTTCCTTTCATTTTTCATTTAATACCAAACGATGGAAAATATATCTCTTCTATTTTTCATCCCTCCTACTAAACAAAAAGGAGAAAAAATAATTTTTTTTCCTTCATGGATAGAAAGTTTATTTCTCTCACTTTTCCTTCCTTTCTACTTTCCATCATTCGTACTAAACGGACCATTAGTGTTATATATTGTGTTTTTTTCATTTAGGGCGATATTTCACGCATTGTGGGAAGTGTACAAATCAATTTGTCAGATTACAAATGAGAAAATGTGAATATATTTCGCCAGTTTGTATGTATTTTTCTTAGATGGAAAATCTGTGTACATATAAATTAATAGATTTCAATGTGGTCCAATAAAAAAAAATTTAGCCGTCCCATCAAGGTTGAATTTGATGTATTAATTTGCATGTACTAAAATCTATAAATGTTTCCAAAAGCCCCCTTACGGTGAGTCTCCTTGTGCTAATTCTACTACTAATGGGTACAATTCAATTGATGTATTATCAACCCTTGTGATTTTTTTTTTTGTTGGGTTTTTATAGATTTTAGTTTGATATAATCATCCGTGTTACCCACAAATAAATGATACGGTGGAGAACCACATGTTATTTATTGTGCTGTGACATTCGGGTGTTTTTCATCGTGTTGATGCTATTATGGGCGTTTACAAATCAATTGCCACATTTGTAAATAATACATTTAAATAAATTTTGTGAGTTTTTTTTAGGAGTAATGCTACATGGATTTAAAAAATAAACTTAAAAATTATACTTAATAATTTCAACGATTAATTTCACTGTAGGTCTCAGCATTTATTATGACATACTACCTATTCAATTGTTGAGATCATCAAGTCTAATTTTTAAGTCTAATTTTTAAGTCCATCTAGTATTACTCTTTTTTTTAGTTAAAAATAATTTTCACACAAAAATATGTTACAATGGGGCATCTGGTTTTATATATTGTGCTTTAACATTTGGGTGAGACCATTGGAACTGGGGGCGAGAGTACAAATCAGTTGCCCGGTAGATAAAAAGGGTTAAGAATATTTTTGGGTGTTTTTTTTTATAGATTTTCCTTTGATATAATACTTTGTTAGGATGGGGCACGTCATGTTATTTATTGTGATTTGCTATTAATTAGGGTCGTGTTCCCAATGCTGATGTTACTTGAGCCATATACATATCAATTAGTTGATACATTTGTAAATTAAAAATGTGAATAAATTTTGTAGGTTTGTGTTCACATAAAAATATGTGCATGTGGTCCGATAATGATATTTAGATGCACAATAATATTCCACAACAGTGAGAAGGATAATACTACATGCAAAGCAAAAGAAAAATGCGTGAGGCCCCAAAAATCAGGGTCCTTAATTTAATAAAATTCGGACAGAGTCTCTTTTATACGGAGAGCTTTACCCAAAATACAATCTGTGCAATTATACTATATTGATCACACCAAGTTCATTTATGAATAAATATTGACTATACCGGGTCCATTTATAAATAAATATTGATCACACCGAGGGTTCTGAATATAAATATTGTAGCAGCAACATAATCAAATAGTAGGTTGTGTGAAACCAAATATGGTTCTTTCCCTGCATCCCCATCCTGGGAAGAATCTTTCTGGTTATAACGATATCGGCGAGATGTGAGGGCAAGTTTTACATTTTCTGGGGAAGAATGGCCTCGACCTGGTGGGAAGGTACCAAAGCATAACCGAACATGCTATAATTCACTGGCTCATTTAATGTTATCCATTGCTCGACTCGATCACCAAACTAAATGTTATCCATTGCTTGACTCGATCACCAACTGCCTCTGATACTGCCATATATTTTGCTTATGTGGTAAACAAAGCAATTGTAGACTATAAGATCGCCTCCAATGTGCAGTGCATCCAAATAAAGTAAAAACATAACCAGTCAGAGATCTTATTTTATCTAGATCATCTGCATAGTTTGAATCAACATAATAACAACAATATAATTGATATCATCTCTTCTACCAAGTATTAAACCAACATTTGCAGTGACTCTCTCTCAAATAACAAAGTATCCATTTGACAGTTTGTCAATGAAGCTTTCCAAGATTAGTCATGTAATGGCTAACCACACTAATTGCTTGTAAATTATATGGACGAGTGTAAACCATAGCTTACATGATGCTCCCAATTACACTAGAATAAGGAACACGAGACATAAACTACTCCTCATTCTCAAACTATGATAATAAAGCTAATGAAAGTCTAAAGTGAGTGGCATGTGGAGTACTCAAAGGCATCGAATCCTACACCCCAAAGTACTCAATATATTTCTTTTGAGATAAATATAATACCTGCTTTCTTATCCTTGTGAATCTCCATATCCAAAATTTTCTTTGCAGCACTCAAATCTTTCATCTCAAATTATGAACACAATATTTTCTTTAGCGTGTCAATCTTTAACATGTTTTTAGCTATAATAAGCATATTATCCAACCAGTGGGTTTTTGGTCCAATGGTACTCCTTGTCTTGTAAAGGTTTTGTCTTGTTGAGATCAAGGGTTCAAATCTCCATTCTCCCTCCCCCAAAAAAAAAAAAAACCATGTAATCCACATAAAAACAATAAATCTATAAAAAAATCATCTGACAACTGTCTGTTATACACACAACTATCATAATTACTCCTAGAGTAACCACAATCTACCCTAAAGGTGTCAAAATATTTGTACCACTACCTTGAAGACTATTTCAAACCATATAATGATTTCTTCAATAACCAAACATGATTTTCTTTACC